TTAAGGTTATGATTATAATGCAATTAAATGCAAAGGTGCAAGCGGACTAGGCGAGAATTACGAAAATAATTTCTGGAAAAGGGGAACAAGAGGGACAAGCACAAATCTCCAAACACAGCTACGTGATTGACGCGCGACGGAAAAAATCAGCCTGGTCCGGGTATCGAACCATGGACCTCTCCATTTCCAGTGGAGCGGTCTTCCAACTGAGCTAATTAGGGGTTAGACGTCAGTAGAGCAAACAGGTTTTATCAGCTGTCACCGGTCTAACACCAACAAGGGTGAAAGGCTTGCATTTTAAGGTTATGATTATAATGCAATTAAATGCAAAGGTGCAAGCGGGCTAGGCGAGAATTACGAAAATAATTTCTGGAAAAGGGGAACAAGAGGGACAAGCACAAATCTCCAAACACAGCTACGTGATTGACGCGCGACGGAAAAAATCAGCCTGGTCCGGGTATCGAACCATGGACCTCTCCATTTCCAGTGGAGCGTTCTTCCAACTGAGCTAATTAGGGGTTAGACGTCAGTAGAGCAAACGGGTTTTATCAGCTGTCACCGGTCTAACACCAACAAGGGTGAAAGGCTTGCATTTTAAGGTTATGATTATAATGCAATTAAATGCAAAGGTGCAAGCGGGCTAGGCGAGAATTACGAAAATAATTTCTGGAGAAGGGGAACAAGAGGGACAAGCACAAATCTCCAAACACAGCTACGTGATTGACGCGCGACGGAAAAAATCAGCCTTGTCCGGGTATCGAACCATGGACCTCTCCACTTCCAGTGGAGCGTTCTTCCAACTGAGCTAATTAGGGGTTAGACGTCAGTAGAGCAAACGGGTTTGATCAGCTGTCACCGGTCTAACACCAACAAGGGTGAAAGGCTTGCATTTTAAGGTTATGATTATAATGCAATTAAATGCAAAGGTGCAAGCGGGCTAGGCGAGAATTACGTAAATAATTTCTGGAGAAGGGGAACAAGAGGGACAAGCACAAATCTCCAAACACAGCTACGTGATTGACGCGCGACGGAAAAAATCAGCCTGGTCCGGGTATCGAACCATGGACCTCTCCATTTCCAGTGGAGCGTTCTTCCAACTGAGCTAATTAGGGGTTAGACGTCAGTAGAGCAAACGGGTTTTATCAGCTGTCACCGGTCTAACACCAACAAGGGTGAAAGGCTTGCATTTTAAGGTTATGATTATAATGCAATTAAATGCAAAGGTGCAAGCGGGCTAGGCGAGAATTACGAAAATAATTTCTGGAGAAGGGGAACAAGAGGGACAAGCACAAATCTCCAAACACAGCTACGTGATTGACGCGCGACGGAAAAAATCAGCCTGGTCCGGGTATCGAACCATGGACCTCTCCATTTCCAGTGGAGCGTTCTTCCAACTGAGCTAATTAGGGGTTAGACGTCAGTAGAGCAAACGGGTTTTATCAGCTGTCACCGGTCTAACACCAACAAGGGTGAAAGGCTTGCATTTTAAGGTTATGATTATAATGCAATTAAATGCAAAGGTGCTAGCGGGCTAGGCGAGAATTACGAAAATAATTTCTGGAGAAGGGGAACAAGAGGGACAAGCACAAATCTCCAAACACAGCTACGTGATTGACGCGCGACGGAAAAAATCAGCCTGGTCCGGGTATCGAACCATGGACCTCTCCACTTCCAGTGGAGCGTTCTTCCAACTGAGCTAATTAGGGGTTAGACGTCAGTAGAGCAAACGGGTTTTATCAGCTGTCACCGGTCTAACACCAACAAGGGTGAAAGGCTTGCATTTTAAGGTTATGATTATAATGCAATTAAATGCAAAGGTGCTAGCGGGCTAGGCGAGAATTACGAAAATAATTTCTGGAGAAGGGGAACAAGAGGGACAAGCACAAATCTCCAAACACAGCTACGTGATTGACGCGCGACGGAAAAAATCAGCCTTGTCCGGGTATCGAACCATGGACCTCTCCACTTCCAGTGGAGCGTTCTTCCAACTGAGCTAATTAGGGGTTAGACGTCAGTAGAGCAAACGGGTTTGATCAGCTGTCACCGGTCTAACACCAACAAGGGTGAAAGGCTTGCATTTTAAGGTTATGATTATAATGCAATTAAATGCAAAGGTTCAAGCGGGCTAGGCGAGAATTACGAAAATAATTTCTGGAGAAGGGGAACAAGAGGGACAAGCACAAATCTCCAAACACAGCTACGTGATTGACGCGCGACGGAAAAAATCAGCCTGGTCCGGGTATCGAAACATGGACCTCTCCATTTCCAGTGGAGCGTTCTTCCAACTGAGCTAATTAGGGGTTAGACGTCAGTAGAGCAAACGGGTTTTATCAGCTGTCACCGGTCTAACACCAACAAGGGTGAAAGGCTTGCATTTTAAGGTTATGATTATAATGCAATTAAATGCAAAGGTGCAAGCGGGCTAGGCGAGAATTACGAAAATAATTTCTGGAGAAGGGGAACAAGAGGGACAAGCACAAATCTCCAAACACAGCTACGTGATTGACGCGCGACGGAAAAAATCAGCCTGGTCCGGGTATCGAACCATGGACCTCTCCATTTCCAGTGGAGCGTTCTTCCAACTGAGCTAATTAGGGGTTAGACGTCAGTAGAGCAAACGGGTTTTATCAGCTGTCACCGGTCTAACACCAACAAGGGTGAAAGGCTTGCATTTTAAGGTTATGATTATAATGCAATTAAATGCAAAGGTGCTAGCGGGCTAGGCGAGAATTACGAAAATAATTTCTGGAGAAGGGGAACAAGAGGGACAAGCACAAATCTCCAAACACAGCTACGTGATTGACGCGCGACGGAAAAAATCAGCCTGGTCCGGGTATCGAACCATGGACCTCTCCATTTCCAGTGGAGCGTTCTTCCAACTGAGCTAATTAGGGGTTAGATGTCAGTAGAGCAAACGGGTTTTATCAGCTGCCACCGGTCTAACACCAACAAGGGTGAAAGGCTTGCATTTTAAGGTTATGATTATAATGCAATTAAATGCAAAGGTGCAAGCGGGCTAGGCGAGAATTACGAAAATAATTTCTGGAGAAGGGGAACAAGAGGGACAAGCACAAATCTCCAAACACAGCTACGTGATTGACGCGCGACGGAAAAATTCAGCCTGGTCCGGGTATCGAACCATGGACCTCTCCATTTCCAGTGGAGCGTTCTTCCAACTGAGCTAATTAGGGGTTAGACGTCAGTAGAGCAAACGGGTTTTATCAGCTGTCACCGGTCTAACACCAACAAGGGTGAAAGGCTTGCATTTTAAGGTTATGATTATAATGCAATTAAATGCAAAGGTGCAAGCGGGCTAGGCGAGAATTACGAAAATAATTTCTGGAGAAGGGGAACAAGAGGGACAAGCACAAATCTCCAAACACAGCTACGTGATTGACGCGCGACGGAAAAAATCAGCCTGGTCCGGGTATCGAACCATGGACCTCTCCATTTCCAGTGGAGCGTTCTTCCAACTGAGCTAATTAGGGGTTAGACGTCAGTAGAGCAAACGGGTTTTATCAGCTGTCACCGGTCTAACACCAACAAGGGTGAAAGGCTTGCATTTTAAGGTTATGATTATAATGCAATTAAATGCAAAGGTGCAAGCGGGCTAGGCGAGAATTACGAAAATAATTTCTGGAGAAGGGGAACAAGAGGGACAAGCACAAATCTCCAAACACAGCTACGTGATTGATGCGCGACGGAAAAAATCAGCCTGGTCCGGGTATCGAACCATGGACCTCTCCATTTCCAGTGGAGCGTTCTTCCAACTGAGCTAATTAGGGGTTAGACGTCAGTAGAGCAAACGGGCTTTATCAGCTGTCACCGGTCTAACACCAACAAGGGTGAAAGGCTTGCATTTTAAGGTTATGATTATAATGCAATTAAATGCAAAGGTGCAAGCGGGCTGGACCAGAATGACGAAAATAATTTCTGGAGAAGGGGAACAAGAGGGACAAGCACAAATTTCCAAACACAGCTACGTGATTGACGCGCGACGGAAAAAAAAAGCCTGGTCCGGGTATCGAACCATGGACCTCTCCATTTCCAGTGGAGCGGTCTTCCAACTGAGCTAATTAGGGATTAGACGTCAGTAGAGCAAACGGGTTTTATCAGCTGTCACCGGTCTAACACCAACAGGGGTGAAAGGCTTGCATTTTAAGGTTATGATTATAATGCAATTAAATGCAAAGGTGCAAGCGGGCTGGACCAGAATGACGAAAATAATCCATAAAGAAGAGGAACAAGAGGGACAAAGAACAAACACAAATCTCCAAACACAGCTAGGTGGCTGGTGCGCGACGAAAAAATTCCGCCTGGTCCGGGTATTGAACCCGGAACCTCTCCATTTCCAGTGGAGCAGTCTACCAACTGAGCTAACTAGGGGTTAGACGTCATATTGAATGGGTTAAAACAGCGCAAAAAGACGCACCCGTAAAATGCAACAGACAGACACAGCGCTGACTTACAACTGAAATTTTTACTTCTGTGCCATTCAGCAAGTAAACTTGAAACGAGACAAACATACAAGCAATCCACCCGATAACACGTCATCCTCCAATCAAGCCGACACATTGCTTCATATATTTACCCGCCTTTCTGATAAAATTCATCTCATCACTAACCAGGGAAAGTGACGGAACGCTTATGCACATGCCTGCGTCATGGTTGGCAATAAAAAAAGCTTCATCAATCTCCCCAGAATACTTAGTTTTATGTCGGGCTAAAATCTTAATTTCATTAAACATTAGAGAGCATGCACACCTGTCACCGTGGACCGCTAGGTTGCCAGACGGGGAGGAGCGTAAGGACAGAGAATGTTCCCTTGCCCGGTCGTTAACACATCTCCGCGTCTGCCCAATGTACACTTTTCCACAGGACAACGGAATAAGGTACACCACCGCACACGCGCAGGCGATAAACGTGTTGCGGTGCTTAACTTGACATTGCGTACCCACGCGGCCACCTCGATTCACGGCTGCACACAGCCGCCCCAACTTAGCTGGAGCCGAACACACAACTGGCACGTTGTACCTACTGGCAACCTTTTTGACACCATGGGACACCTTGTGCATATACGGCAAGACCACAGGTCTTACCGTTGGTTTTTGTCTTGCCTCAGTACTAGCAGGGCCTCTAAACACCTTAATCAAGGATTCCACGACGCCCATGACAACTCCCAAAGGGAAACCAGCATTTGACAACCTCGTGACTTGCAACAAAAAACTGTCACCACACCTATGGTGACATGACTTAAACAGTGCAATGGCTCTTTTCACTGTCTTAGAGTGTGCGGATTCATATACTAAGAGCCCCTTTTTAGACCTAGGCTCATAGGCCCAACACAAATGCGAGGGCTCACATCGAAGATTGAGATCCAAAAATTGTAGGGCACCCTCAGAAGTGGTCTCAGCCTTAAAGTTTAGTCCCGGAGAACAATCCGTAAATACATGTAATATCGAGGCAATCACACTTTCAATGTCTGTGTTATCGTTGCTTTTCAGCACAATCAGGTAGTCATCAACATACCTCAACACTTTGACCACCCTATCGTCCAGCCGCTCAGCAATTGCCCTTTCACACTTAGCCAAATAAATGTCACTGAGTACGGGCGCAACATTCGACCCAATGCATATGCCGCTCTTTTGCAAAAACGTGTTGCCTTCAAATGTAACAAAGGTGGACGCGAGGTAAAAATTCAGTAGTTCAAGGAAAGAGTCACTCGCAATCCCACAGGAACTCGAGAAGGCCACAGCCCCAAACGTATCAATGCACTCCTCCACGGCCTGCATGAGCTCAGAATGGGGAATTGCATAAAACAAATCTTCCACATCAAACGAAACCAGCTGACACGAGCCAGGATTATCTTCCCGTAGATAATTAACCAAGGCTTCCGAATTGCGAACAACAAAAGGGTCATCCAGCATAAGTGACGACAAGTGGCGCTGCAGAATGCTTGACACATGCACCTGCCAAGAACTTTTTTGAGTGACAATGGCTCTTAAAGGCATCAACTCTTTGTGGGTCTTTACCGTGAAGAACGCCTCCAGACTAAGACCTTTAGCTGCTGACACAGACTTTCTCAGCGAATCCAGCCCCATGTTACTACATAACTGCACAGCACGCGCCTTAACCTTTTTCAAATCAACCCCCAACACTGGTCTAAAATTCTTCAACATCGCCTCCCCAGCCTTCTCCAAGAACAACCCCTGAGGCGCCACGACAAAACCCCCTTCTTTATCAGATACCAGCAACTTTAAGCGCGAGTCATTGAAAAACGATACAACAGCCCCAAGATTCATCCTTCTCACCTTTCTCCCAACCCCTTTTAAAAGCCCTTCCGCACACTCCAACACGCAACGTTCCCTGCTCTCCTGGTTCGTTTTTTGAGACACTTGTCGCACCAGGCCCAGCATCTCCGGAGGCCGGACCAACGGCTCGGTAGCAAACCTGGGACCCTTCTCCAAAATGTTCACGATCTTATCAGGAGCAGAGGCACCACCCAGGAACACAATGCTGCCTCCCCCACTCCCCTCCTGATGATGCCTGGATTTCCTTGGCAGCGAAGCACGCAGACGCTCCCATAAAAATTCCGTCGCCATCGCAGACTCCCTTCCGCAGCGTCGAAGCTTCCTCTCCGCAGCACGTTCTTCATTCGAAGTCCGATAGCACCAAACCCTTAGGCCATCCTGAAGCAGCCTGACCTGTCGCCAGGCCTCGGATCGTAGAATCTTACACATGCGCTTGGCATGTCCAGACGATGGCCCCATCAAACCGAAAAGAGCAGCCACTTCAGGCGGGAGGATGCCTTGTCTCACAGCGTATCCGAAGTGTCTTGCCTTGCACGTAGCCGCGGCGATGGCATTGATGTAGAAGATGTCATGATGGGGTGGATCGGGAGAACACATGGCGCAGCAGTAAATATTTCAGTTGTAAGTCAGCGCTGTGTCTGTGTGTTTCCTTTTACTGGTCCTTCGTCTTTTTTGCGCTGTTTTAACCCATTCAATATGCTTCTTCGAGGGTGAGGTTCTTTTTTTTTTCGAAGCAGCTTTTCTCGCAACACCGCGCTCGAAATCCCGTAAACAATCTGATCTCGGAGGAGAGATTTTTTCAGGCCTGCAAAGTTGCACGTCCTTGCTTTCTGCTGCAGGTCTCTAAAAAATTGTTCAAATGGCTCTCCTTGAGCTTGCCGACACGTGCGAAACAAGTAGCGCTCGTACGTTTCGTTACATTTGGGCAGGCAGTAGTCTTCAAAAGTCTTGACTAGTACGTCATAGTCGGCTTTCTCCTCTGCTGTCAAATTCAGTGTGTTAAACATATAGCTTCCTGGCCCGCGATATGTACAGGGTGTCACAAAAGAAAATTTACACGCTCCTTTTTTATCGCAAAAATAAACTAGGCATCGACGAACGCTCATTCTGCGCCCAAAGGTAGAGCTAGAGGTCACAACCAGATGCCAAAGTTTCAGCCCGATCCGATAACTTAATCAAAAGTTATAAGTGATTTTCTGAAACTTTCAATGGGAAAATGGCGGCCGACGGAATTTTCAAACACATGGAGCTCTATGGCACCAGAAACCGAAAACGGGCAAAATTGGGCTCCATTTTCCTATTGAAATTTTCAGAAAATCACTTATAACTTTTGATTAAGTTATCGGATCGGGCTGAAACTTTGGCATCTGGTAGTGACCTCTAGCTCTACCTTTGGGCGGAGAATGAGCGTTCGGCGATGCCTAGTTTATTTTTGCGGTAAAAAAGACCGTGTAAATTTTCATTTGTGACACCCTGTAGAAATATGGCGGCCTTCTGTTGCTTACTGCGAGGCTTCGTGGGTTCCGTTGCTAGGAGGTAAAGCTCAATGCGCTGCTTGAACCTTTGCCACGACTCCGCCGCGTTGTTGCCAAGTTGCAGCGGTTCCGGAGGTCGGAGATCTGCCATGATGCCGTGAGCTTTTACCTTTGGACTTCTGACACCATGTAAAGGTAGTGTTTTCACGATCAGTACCAGCAACAAGAACAACTTCTTTATTTTTGAGCGCGCGCTCCTTTTGTATCTTCGCGTGCACGCAGTGTTGCTCCCGCTAGCATATGGTACAGTCGCCATTCCTCCCCGATGCTCCTGCGGCGGCTACCGTTAGGTCGCGGCGAACAATAGGCGACCGCCGCGACACGGCCGGCTTGCTCGCTTCCTATATCCGGAAATGACAATCACACGTTTGTATTTTGAGCCTGGTGGCTGTATTTTTCGTTATAAACGGCCCACTCTGGCAAGCGCTCGGAGAAGGCCCAGTGGAGACCACGTGACATCCAACGCAATCGTGACGTAGGTCGTCTCGGGGCGAGCAAAGCTACAGCGAGGCTGACGTCGAGAGGATGGCCTAGTCGTTCCAGCCACCGAAGCGGCTGCTTTTGTACGAATTTTGAGTGACGCGTTAATTTTCTATAATCTTGTAGGGGGACAATAGCGACTTCTGCGACACACAAAAGGCATTCTCGGGAAGAGGGGAGTTCCTCCTTCCCCTCTTCTCTCGTCGTGGCTGGAGGCGAGACACTCACCGTCACTAGCTGTCAAGGTTCCTAGACGGGCATTACAAGCGAGGCGTTAGCGACATCCACCAGGTGCTCTTTGCTAATCGTTAAATTCGTTTTTAAATTCCTTTTCGAGACTTTTTTAACAAGATATTGGTATGTTCGATGTGATACTGCTCCTTTGAACACGTATAGACCAAAAAATGAGCGCCGAAATGTCGTTGTAGTATCCCTTTAAAAATGGACAAAGATTGAGGTTTTCGGCACCTCTCAAATCCTTCTCCATCTTCCGAGTAACGTGCGCTGTGATGTGAGTCGAGGACGCGCGGGGTTCCGGCCATCCCCGTCCGGCTCGGCCCCATCCCCCTCCGGCTTCTGGCGGCTGTTCGCGGTAGCAAATAGAGCTGACGGTTTTGTTGACCTCGGATAGATGGCGCCACTAAAACTCCGTATAATAAACGTTTTGTCGATGATACCAGGTTTTGACGCATTTATATTTATGTTGGAACGACAAGATTGATAGAAAAGTTACCTTTTATGGAGCAGGCATCTGCACTACTTCCTATATTTTTACAAGTACCCCATTGACGTCATGCCGCGTGGTTCTCATGGCCGGCGCTCGCGGCTGCAGGTCGGAGAATATTCTAACTTTTGCCTCGCGATTACGCGGCAGAATCGCAACATTTCGAAGGAAGGAGATGTGTTTTCTGTCTTTCGTGACAAGATAAACAGTGTCAAAAGTAGAAGATGCAGATTCTTTCAACGTTTTGAAATCGTTGCACAGCTCCTTTCAAGGGGTACGGAAACCAAATTCTAGAGCCCATCTCTTTGCTTGAACATAAAGAGGGTTAAAATACGACTTCACCAACAGCAATATTCAGTAGGATATCGCAAGAAAACGAATTTTAAACTGAATAAAACGATAACCAAAAACCACCTCGTGGATGTCTGTGAAGCTTCGATGGAATGTCGTGACGACAACATGTCCGTAAGAGCAGCGCCACAACCGGAAGTACGGTCAGTCATAGAGATTACTTATTCCTGAACGTAGCACCGAGGCGCTTTGGTGAAGAAAGCAACAGCAGAGTTGGCCACCGTTCGTTTTACTATCGGGTGATCTTTCCGGCAACACTTCTTTGGGGTGGTTTGGAGATTGTGTACCGGCGATGTAATATTCACGCTACGAAATGTCTGTTTAAACGGGCCCAAATGCCCACCTTTCCTGATCACAAGATAGCCGCCTTCGTCGACCGCAACTGATAACGAACTCGATCGCTAACAAGTCAACACAACTACCATCGTTGCTGAAAGGAGACGGCCCGTACGGCTCCGCAAAGCGGCGCGCGTGTAAACAAATCCCTGCGGCGCTTTTCGGGGATGCGGGAGAGAGCCAACGTCCAGGAAGATAAGCTTTCAAGCAAAAGAGTGGCAGCAAGATCCACGTAAATACCTGTTCGCACTGGGAGCAGAACCGCACTGGCATTGTGTTCTTGGCAACACCTCCTAGAAGACAAGGCCGTAGCGCTCTTCTCGTGACGTCGCAAAGGAAAGCCATCGGGGCGCGCTTCGAAGCGAAGGCAACGCGCTTGGATCGACCGTCGTAACGCGTTTTTAGTCACATACGCGTGTCATATTAGCTAAAATTAAAGCAAAACATAGCAACGGGTCTAGAAAACATTTTATTACACGAGCAAAATATTACACCGCTAAATAATCGGTACGAAATGGCACGAGGTATGCGTAAGACGTCTATAGAAAAATGTGATTGTTTTAAGTCGAAAACATTGACTCATGCAATTACTGATGTAGGAATGCATATTTTTTACAGAAATACTTTGACAAAATGGTAAGACACGCAGTGATTTGGAAACAGCAAAACAGAACAGTTAAAAAATCAGGTGGACGTAGTCAACGCGGACAAGGCAAGACAAGCGTTTCTCACGATCATGTAAGCGACGTTATCGCGTGCAGTCACTGAATTCTTGCATCATACCCCGGCCACATGGCAAAATTAATGTAATTTCGATCGAATGACATTATGGGGTCGACAAATCCGCTTGCGGCGCTCGTATAATCACTCAAGACCGCGAGCTGATTAAATCATATATAACTGAATGAAAATAAATTAACTTTTCCGTGTGGCAGGGGTACTAAACGTACTACTTAGTCTACTAATTTACCTCTCCTATAACTTATTTTGTATATAATAATACTATTACCTTAATAGTTAAGATTCTAGTATAAACGAGGTAAAGGCGGTACAATAACCTTAGTATAAATAAACACAGAACCACAAACAACGCACTTTCAATAATCACACAAACTTGTTATTTACCTTCCAGTAAAAACTAGATTACCGCGCATATTTACAAATGTCGACGCAACTGCATACGAATAACGACGAAGAACAAAATTGCAATCTATCATGCGATTAAAAAAAAAAAAACGATTGCAGCATTTTATTTGCGCCCTACATGACCAAGAAAGCCCGTAAATAAGTTGTTTCTCACCTGTCGATCGTATCCATACGTCTTACAATATCCGTGACGAACACATTTGAACACGAACCCCAAGAAGCCTCTCTCTGTCGAGAGAGGTCTATCGATTAATCGACCAGAGTCTTCGTTGGCTAGTTGTCACACATGTCACTCAAACCGTAGCAGGGCTTGTTTCACGAATCCACGTAAATGCCGTAGTATCAAGCGAACACAAAAAAACTACCCGAGACTACGGTGATGACAGAAATACGACGGGAAACAAGTCTCAAAAGTACCACACACGAGAGCAGCGGCGACTCGACCCATCTCTTGCTGGTGTGCGCTCCCTGCGACAATGACTGGATTTCTTTTCGGTTTCCTTCCCTTCTGAGATGTCTCAGCGTTCCTTTTCAGACAGTCAGCAGCTCACACACAACGTAAATTTACCAGAATCGGAGCCATGTGGCATCGGTAGCATCGCAGCCGGTCCTTTCGAAAAGTGTGGGGTGCTGCGGAACTGCACGTAGTCCCGCGGTTACGGAGATACTCATAAATATAAATTTGGTACTCTCAACCTTGGTAGCGCGTTGTCTATTACGTTTATATTATATATATAATAAATTGTACAAGACTCTGCCTTTAAAACGTATATTAATGTCGGATAAACGCGCATGAACGAACACCACCGCGCCGCTTGTCAAGGAACACTTTTTTCACGTCGATAGCGTTTTTCTCACGTAGTTGCGCCACGGACTTCCTTCCTCCGCCATTGTGACGTAACCTCTCAGAGCGCTATGGTCTTGTCTTCTAGGAGGTGTTGGTTCTTGGTAACCGCTTAGGGAACGGTCTTTGACAACCGATTTTATGAACCGCTGGGTTTCTAGACAATCGCAACTCGATGCTG